TTGTAATATTCGTGTTTCAATAATGATTTCATGGCTTTTAATTGGTTTGATTGTTTCTCTCCATTACTGCATAGTATTTCTTGCATTTGCCTGTTCTCTACGTCTATTGCTATTTGTATTGTTAATATTGCTTCTAATTACCTTAGTAAATGGTAAGATTTTATGGATATATGATGTGGATTCATTGTTTTGGTGCGTATTGTTAGTACCTTAGCTATGTAATTCTGGGAAATTGTTATCGCAATTGTCCAAAAGTTCAAAACGGTTACCTAAAATGCCTGCAACTTTTCTGTGGGCTTCTCTGTAAAGAAATGTGTGTCTGCTTCCTTCTAGGGTCATCGTTCTTTTAATAATATACGCGTTTACCCTTGCTGGACATTCTTTCGCTGTTGGTGCATGTTCGAAGTTACAGTTTACACATATTAACTTTTGGCATGTATTTGAAAACATTTTTTGCATCTTGACCTAGTTTCCATACAATGTTGTGCAAAATGGTTAAAACGGTAGCACTTGGTAACACTGTGCTAACGCTACGAAGGGGCTTACTTTAATTTTTGTGTAGGCATAAGTTATATGTTCAGGGATCGTTTGGCCTTTGAAAAATACTTTCACTCTTCTTGTTGGAATTTTTACATCTTCATTTTCATGTTTGGATTTCATTTCCATCCTTATCATCTTTAAGATTGGCACATGGAAGCGTAGGTCTTCCATAAGCTCCTCCATTGTAATCTCTGTAGGAATATCGAATATGATGTCCACTTTGGATATAAAGTGTTGAAGGATTTTTGGTTCGTATCCCTTATCTCGCAGTAGTTGGTTATTGCATAGATCGTTTGCAACTCTTGCAGTCTTGCATAGTACCTTGACTCTCCCATAACCAGCTTTACTTATTTCATTAATGTCGTCGTATCCATATTTTGGTTTTTTTTATTAAACCAGCGATCGCGACCGCATTTATAGCACTTCGTTCATTTCCTCTATTTTTTGTATCTATGTATACAATGAATGGACCTTGTTGATCTTCATCGTACGTAATTTTTTGAGGTTTGAATCTCCTTGGTGTGTTTGCTGTTGAAAGTGGTTTTATAATAATATTACTTTCAATATTAATTTTACCATTACCATATTTTGCCTTTTTATAAGCCCAGGAGCCCTCGGGCTCCTCAGCTTCTGTATCCATTTTATGTTTTTGTCTGATTTTTTTTTGTAAATAACACTTTTTGTACTAAAATGTGCAAACTGTCACAAACTTGACCAATGATCTTAAATGGATTTTAGGTATAACCGTACAAGTGAATAAAAGTCTTAAACTTTTTATTAATATTAATTTAATTTATTAATCACATATACTGGTGTCGCTAAGTACTTCTCGTAGTACGACCTTCGTGATCCAATTGCAGCGCTGTTCTCATTAGAAAAACCTCCAACAAGAATAGTCATACCCTTTACTCGGTCTCCTGTGTAATTGGCAACTGTAGTTACTTATTCAATTCCAATAAGAATCAGGTGATCGTTCCTTGCTCTTCCAGAGTAACTCAGAAGTTACGTTATGCGACTCTGCTCAACATACCAGTCAAAGAACTCTCTCACTTGTTAACCGAAATGTGAAACTTCATTATTAGCTTAAGAATAAAGTTACTTGTTGGCTCTACGTTGTCATACAGACAGATCGCTCTCCCAGCAATCAATTTACTCTTGCTTTGCAAGTGTTGGCGATGCTGTTAGGTGTTAGTGAAGAACAGAAATGATTACGAGGGTGCCCGCTGGACTATTGTGGCTTAACTTACACAACCGTTCAGAATGGCATCCAAAACTGTTCTGTTACTATGAATTTGAGGCTTAATTTTAACTGCGTATAACTTTTAAAAGAAAGGTTTTATGAAAAAAATGGTTAAACACTTTTTGTAGCTCAAAAAATGTTGTTTAGAATAGCACTTCCTCAAAATTTTAGATATTTTTTTTTTTTTGCAGTTAAAAAATTTATTGCAAAAAATCAAAAAGCTCTATATAAAATATGCAAAAAAGTAAATGATTTAGGCTCACATTAAATTAAAAATAAAAAGCTTGATTACGTTGCATGATTTTTAAGGCAAAAACTTAAAGTTCAGGTGTCATTTGCAAAAACGAAAAACAAAAACAAAAAAGAAATCAACTTGACAAATAACAAATATATAGACATAGTATATACAAATATATATCAACAACAACGTATTAGCTAACATTTTTTAAACTATTAATGTATAGCGGTACTAAACATAAACATGAATATATATATACAAATATAAATATAAATGTATTGCTGTCCACATAGTTCTTACGTCATAGGTTATACATATATATTAAACGAAGTGCGTTCGGTTATAGTTCAACACACTAATTTTGAATGATTGTTTATTTATTTAAAGGAAAAAAAAAAATATTTGTTGCAATGCAAAATGCATTAAATTAAGCGTAATATGATTGAACATAAACTGATATACATGTAAACATTTTACCGTTAGCGTTACTATTGCAAATTAGATAATAAAATAATAATACGTATTATGGCTACTCCGATTATTGTAATTAAATTATTATTATTATTAT